CAGCACTTAGGGAGGCCGACGCAGGTGGATCATGAGGTCAAGAGATTGAGACCATCCTGGCCAACACGGTAAACCCCATCTCTGCTAAAATACAAAAATTAGCAGGGCATTATGGCACATGCCTGTAATCCCAGCTACTTGGGGAGCTGAGGCAGGAGAATCACTTGAACTCAGGAAGTAGAGGTTGCAGTGAGCTGAGATCACGCCATTACACTCCAGCCTGAGTGACAGAGAAAGACTGTCTCCAAAAAAAAAAAAAAAAAAGTCAGCAAAACTAGGAGGGGCAGGGTGACTCAACGCCTGTAATCACAGCACTTTGGGAGGCTGAGGCAAGCGGATCACTCAAGGTCAGGAGTTCGAGACTAGCCTGGCCAACATGGTGAAACCCTATCTCTACTAAAAATACAAAAAGTAGCCAGGTATAATGAGACATGTCTGTAATCCTAGCTACTCAGGAGGCTGAGGCAGGAGAATTGCTTGAACCTGGGAGGCAGAGGTTGCAGTGAGCTGAGATCACACTACACCCCAGCCTGAGCAACAGAGTGAGACCCTGTCTCAAAAAAACAAATAGGCAAAAGTACTAAAACACTCTTGCCCCCAAATGTGGGTTGGAATAACAGCATGGTGACAAGTCTAAGATAAATTGTGGCTTTATAAACACTAATACTAGAATCATCTAAAAAGCTTTTTAAAATATTGATGTCCAGTCCTACCACAAAGATTCCAATTTAACTGTTTTGGGGCACACTCTGGGCATCCAGATTTTATAAAGCTCTCCAGATGATTCTAATTCGAAGATGAAAACCACTGAGAAAAAGGAACATGTTAACATGAGGAACAATCTGACAAATACAGAATGTAAAACATTATACAGCATAAATGATTTGGTCTCCAGTAAATCAAGTGCACAGAAATGACTATTCAAGATAAAGAGAGTTTTAAGATAATCAGGGCAGGTGTCATGGCTCACACCTGTAATTCCAACTTTGGGAGAAGCAATTGAAAACAGGAGTCTGAAACCAGCCTGGACAACATAGCAAGTCTTCTCTAGGAAAAATTAAAAGAAAAAATTAGCCAGGTGTGGTGGCACCTGTCTGTGGTCCCAGCTACTCAGGAGATGAAGGGCTGAGGTAGGAAAACTGCTTAAGCCTGGGGAAATGGAGGCTTCTATAAGCTGTGATCCCGCCACTGCACTCCAGCCTGGGGAAATAGAGGCTTCAGTGAGCTGTGATCCTGCCACTGCACTCCAGCCTGGGTAAGACCCAGAGTGTGGGGGGTGGGGGGGAGAGGAAGGAATCAATCAATCAATACATATATGGACCTTGTCTGAAGACCAATTTCAAACAATGTAAAAAGACACCCAGGGAATAAAAAGAAAATCTGGATATGGACTCTGCGATACTGGCACTTGGTGGTATAAGTAGTTATTTTTTAGAGATGGACTTTGACAAATTTAGAGATGAAATGTAATGTCTGGAATTTGCCTTAAAATATTCCAATACATTAACCAATAAAATGAATGGCTTTCTGGAATTTGCTTAAAAATAAGGGTGCAGATAATATGCAACATTCTCTGATAATCACTGGAGTTAGAAAATGGGTACCTAGTGGGTCGGTTATTATTTCCATTGATAGTTTATTAAAACGTATATATACCCCAAAAAGAAACGAAAGTAAATATAGCAAGTTAGTAACATTCAAAATTCAAATTTCTTGGCCAGGCACGGTGGCTCACACCTGCAATCCCAGCACTTTGGAACACCGAGGTGGGCAGATCACCTGAGGTCAGGAGTTCAAGACCAGCCTGACCAACATAGTGAAACCCCATCTCTACTAAAAATACAAAAATTATCCAGTGACTTGCTCGAACCTGGACAGCGAAGGTTGCAGTGAGCCAAGGCTGCTCCTCAAAAGAGAACGTCTTAAAAAAAAATTCAGCCGGGCGCAGTGGCTCACGCCTGTAATCCCAGCACTTTGGGAGGCCGAGGCGGGTGGATCA